GACCAGTGGTTCTCAACCTGTGGGTTGTGACCCCTGTGACAAACCTCTATCTCCCAGAATAATTACATTACAATTGGTAACAGTAGCAAATTTACAGTTTGAAGTAGTAACAAAAATAACTTTATGGCTGGGGTGGGGTTCATCACATATGAGGAACTGTGTTCAAGGCTCGCACGTTAGGAAGGTTGGGAAGCCCTGCTCCGGACATTGCTCAGCACACCCCGAATACTCAGAGTGGAGTCGTGTGGACAGGGAAGACATGGGACTTAGAAGCACTTCAAGGAGAAGAAAGGATACGATAAGGGTGGAGTGGGTTCCCCTGCCTGGGCCTGGACACCAAAGCAGCTCAGGCCAAGGCAGAGCAGGCCTGGGCCTGGGTGAGGTCCTAGGCGCCCAGCTGCTTCATGACTGCTATGCTTTTGCCTCGTCCCTTCCCAGTGATGCATACAGAAAGGGCTCCAGAGACAGGAAGTGCAGCACCCCTGGCTCCAGCCTACACAGGAGCCAGACTCCTCGGCTCACTTTAGAAGCAGCTGTGGTGCAACCCTGACCAAAACAGAAGTATGGTTTCCCCAGCAGGATTTTGAAAGAGCTACCCTCTGGGGCACAGCATCAGCAGGGAACCTGCTTCCTGAAGCAACGCGCACAGGAAAGAGCTAGAGTGTGAGCTACAGTGCGCACGCTTTGTGTCCCAGTGACATCCCGTGGGGTGGGTTACACAGCATGTGAGACTTTTCATCTCTCTGGTCCATACTCTGTGGCCAGACAGCACAGAGTACAGAACAAGCTTCACAGGGACACTCCTGTCCCTCCCACAGTCCAAGGACAGGCATCCTCCCGGACTGCCCACAACCTCCTGGGCCACCTTCTTGGGTTAGCCTCAGTCTGGAGACTTCATTTCCCAGCTAACCAGGGGCCTGGACAAAGAGGGACATTCTTCTGGGCTGATTCAGCTCCTGGCCACACGTGGTTACCCCCTTTGCGCAGGGCCTGTGATGCACAGCTAGCACAGGGGCCATGTTGGCTTGTCACGCTGCTCCATTCTTACCCACAGCTGCTCTAATGAGAAGATGGGAGTCTGAGAGAAAAAGGAAAGCAAGTCACTTGATAAGGGCCACTTGCCTGCAATGATGGCCGAGAACAGATGATAGGAGATGAAAGTCCCCAAATACCACAATTTGCTGAGCCACTAAATCCTGTAACAGGAGCTGGGGAGGAAAGGCCCCTCCCCCACAGCCAGCCTCCCTCAGCAGCTGTCATTAGGCTTGGCACACCATCAGAGGGAGCTACCCTGTCTCCCTCTCCGTTCTCTGCTGAAATGAGGGAAGAACCCAGGCTCTATAAAGACCCCAGTGTGTGCTGGAACCAGGCCAGAGCCAAGGCTCTGCTCCCCATCATGGCTCCCACTCTCCTGTGCCTACTGAGACCACACCAGCTCCAGAGTCACACAAAACAGTCTCACTCTCTAACCCAAACTAGCCTCAAACTCACAGTAGTCCTCCTGCCTCAGCCTCCTGACTGCTGTGATTAAAGATGTGAGCCACCATGTTCAGTCTTACTGTACTTCAGTCATTTGTTGAACTTAAAATAAGAACTTCCTCTAAAGCCGGGCAGTGGTGGCGCACGCCTTCAGTCCCAGCACTCAGAAGGCAGAAGCAGGCAGATCTCTGAGTTCTAGACTAATCTGGTCTACAGAGTAAGTTCCAGGACAGCCAGAGCTACACTCTGGCAACAGCTGAGCTACCCAGTCTCTGTTGATGCGTCTAGTAGGGATAGTTCCATAATGTAGTCTTATAATATGACTTCTTTCCAAGTTCATTACTGTATTGATACTTTACTCCTTTTATTGCTGAACAATATTCCATTGGACAGTGATAGCCTAGTGAATGGATATACCACACTGTCGATCCATTCAATCACTGATGGACTGCCGTTTGTAAGTACTTCTGCTGTGAAAACTGATGTACGAAGTGTTATCTGAGCGCCCCTTCTCCCCTTCGGCACACACTTGGGAGAGAATTGCTAGTGCACGTGATGGTTGTTAGCACACTGAGGGACTGGGAAGCTGGAGCAGGGTTTTCCTTTGTGCGTGCAATGTTTGGGTAGCAGCAGAGCCCTCCAAAGCTGCTTCTCTCTCCCTGTCCCTCTGTTATGAACTCAACCCCCTCTTCTTCCGGACTCTACAGCAGCCTCACAAAAATGGCCGGGCACCAGGTCATTCAGAGCTATGCCAAGGAAAAGAACAGGAGCCTGGGACATCCCATTTCTCAGTGACCACACCAAGTCGTCCTTTGCTGAGGAGCTGTCTCCCTCCTGGAACTCTCCATTCCACAGGCTATCTGGCCATCTTGTCTGTGGAATGAGCTTCTTGAGTGGCTGTCTCAGGCCTAGGAGGACCATGACCATTTGAGCATCCTCCCCCCCATTGTGAGGTTGGAGTAACTATGAATAGAGCTGGGGGTGGGCTGTTTGCAGTGCCCTGAGGCTGCATACTGGCCCAGCAAACCCAGAACCAATGACCTGCCTAGACTTGCCCATCAGGAAGCCCTCCTGAACCTCCAAGCACAGCATTCAAGCCCCTCTGAGACCCCTCACCTCCAGGAACCTGTATTCCAAACATGGAGAGTCAAGCCATGCATGTGGCCTAAGGCCCACACCTGTCAGGGATAACACAAGTTGAGAATGCCCAGGGCGTACAGCACCAGGCAGGGGCTGCTCACAACAGAAGCAGCTTTGTAGCTTATGAGCTACATGAACATGTGCAGAGAGCATGAGCCCAAGCTGTAACAGTGACTCTCCTGGACCAGCTCTCCTGGAGGTTCTTAGCACTCGACGGAACTCCCTCTGGATAGTGTCCACTTCACAGACAGAGATCTAAATGGCCTCCGTACACTGGTCACCAGACTGCAGAGCCCTGAAGGGCAGGCCGCTTTCCAAGGGACAGGAAAAGACCCTGTCCCCAAACATCCACTTATTTTCTGTATTCCTGGGGCTCAGCGCCTTGAGGTAAATACTGAGTAAAAGCTGGAGAACAGATGGTGGGTTGATGATGATGAAGATGGTGAACTCTTCACCTGTGCCTACCACAGCATAGGTGAAGAAGAGAATCTCACATGCACCTAATGGCTGTAAGAGACTCACAGGGGCTTGGGCAAGCCCAAGAGCCAACAGAACCAGAACCCAGGCCTGTAGCCCCAGCCTCGTAGTTAAAGATCCTAAATGATTCAGAAGCAATCACATGGGCTGAGAACACACTTCCCAGAGGTCTAGGGATTCCCAAGGGAATGGAAAAGAACCAGAGTCACTGCCTCTGATGGGCTCTGCTATTTTTATGTCCAACTCTGGGTAAACACACCTAAGCCCAGGTTCTAGCTATGGCCGACAAGAAGTTAGGTATTTGACACTCAGAGCCCACACGTTCTCCTGCTTCCACCATTGCCTCCACATCATGGCCAGTGAGGCAGGTAGGAAACAGCACCTCAACTCCTCCACCAAGTATCCCTGGACACCATGAGCTGGGGTCAGTGCTGCAGGAAGCACCTGTGCTCGGCACATTGATGCTTGGGAGCGGTAGCATGTCATGCAGCCTGATCAGCATCTGGGTCTTCTGGACAAGGCAGCTCCTGACAAGTACAAGGAGAGCCTGTCCAGGCTACCTGGGCCCTGGCTGCCCCCGCAAGGTGCACACGGCGGCCAGCGGGTACCCAGCATTCAGTGCCGGGACCCAGTGTGTTCACCCCTGCCATGTGGCCAGGGCAACAACAGCGAAGGAATCCCTAGGGAGGCAGAAAAAACGAGTGTGGCTGCCCATCCTACCTGGAAGTTCCTAAGCTGCAAGCCTTTCTCCCCTCCCAACTGAAAGGAAAGCGATGCGACAGCAGCCTAGGAGCAGTGTGGGACTGCTGGCAGCTTGTGTACGCATGCTAGGTGCCAGCCTCCTTACAAGTTTCTCAGCTTTAAAATAAGCAGCAGCCCAAGTACACGCAGCACAGTGTGTGTTGCTGGAGGCAAAGACTTCCACTTCCCCAGCAGGGAGAGCACAGCAGGCCAGCCCCGAGCGGACCTCCACTCAGTGAGGAAGCCCTGGATCGCAGGCTGACCCTCTCAGGCCTCTGGTGGACAGGAAGTGAGATGCCATCCACCCGCCTGTTCTGAAGCAGCCTGGCAGTTAGGACTGTCTGCAGGGTTGTCTGGGCTCTGTGGCAAAGCTTAGTTCCCGAGCTCCAAAGTGAGACGAGCTTGCACTGGTAAGACCAACACAGACCACTTTGATTTGGTTGATGTGGATAGCTCTGGGGACTGAATCCAGATCCTCACACATGCTAGGCAAATGCTCTACCACCAAGCTGTCTCTATCTCCAGGACTTTCCAAGCCCTTATTTTGACACAAGGTCTCAAACAGTTGCCTGGGCTAGTTGTAAACTCACTCTGTAGCCCAGGTTGGCCGTGAACTCACTGTCCTCCTGACTCAACCACCCAAGTAACTGGGATCACTGACCTACTGTACCCCAGGGCTCAGCCTCAGACTCCATTCTGATGGGCAGACTCTATGACAAACAGCCAACTGGATTCAAGGCAATTCCTTGGGGGCTAGGGGGAATCCTGGTCTCCCTGCTGGCAGAGATAACTGCCATGAGTCACAGCCCTGACCCTTTTTCCTGGAACACCTAAAGCCCAAGTGACTCAGCCCAGCCCTGGTGGTGATGGCGCAGCCACATCCGCCTCCCCGGTCCAACAGCACACAGGGTTCCCTGGATGCCCGGTTTGGCCTCACCAGCCCGTGCTGGCCACAGGACACACCTCAGTGCTGTCTCCTCCCACCCCTCGGGGCTCCCGGCAAGCCTCTATGGGCACCCGGGACGAAAGCAGGTTGAACCCTGAAACTGCAACCCCACAGGAGCCTGGCAAATGGCAGTGTCCTAGGGGTTGCCAAGGAAACCACACGACTCTGTGTCTGCCCACTCACTGCCTGCCTGGCCTATCTTTTCCCTCCTTTCCAGTGAGAAGCGCCACCTTCAAGTGAACGTCACCAACCCGGTGCAGTGCAGCCTGCATGGGAAGAAATGCACCGTGTCTGTGGAGACCCGGCTTAACCAGCCACAGCCCGACTTCACCAAGAACCGCTCCGGCTTCATCCTCAGTGTGCCGGGGAACTGACTGCTGCGCATCAGAGGTCTGGCCAGGGGAGCAAGAGTCTGGCCCCAGGCTGGCCGGGCCCTTGGCCTCTCCATCCCCACCCACCTTCCACCTTGCTCAGCATCCAGGATCCCAGCCACTTGCTGTCTGCCCTCTAATACCACTAGAAGTCAGCTTGCAAGGCCTCCAGCGGGCCTCTCCTCTAAGGTGGCCCGCCTGGCTTTCTGACCCGCCTCCGCCTCTGCTCTCTCAACTTTCCGTAGTCCCTGCTCAGGAAACCAAAGACCCTCTGCAGCCTCCCGTGCTGACAGCTCGCCACTTCTTACCCCACAAACAACTGGATACGGCCAGTGACCACTGCTGACCCCGCAGAAGGATGGGGGCTCAGGGCATGGGACAGCTTCTCCAGCCAAAGACACATCCTCCTGGAGGTTTTGATCTAGTGTCCACACGCAGAGGACTAGCCCTGCTCTGTGACCCCTACCTGATGCCTTCCTTCCCCCACGATTGCACCCCCAGCAGCCAGCCAAAGGCAGCAGGTGAACAGACTTGCCTGTGAAGCCATCCCTCAGCCATGTTCTGCAAGGGGTTCCTCCTTCCAGAGCTGTCCCTGGGACATCTTTTGCCACCAAGGTTCCAGGCCAGGACTTTCTGACCACTTCTCCATAGAGATGTCCTGCTGCTACCCAGGGACCAGTTAGCTTAACCTTCCTGCAGATTGCGGGGTTGCTAGTCAGATGTTCCCTCTGCTGTAGCCACACTGCCCGGACAAGTGAGGCCTGAGGACGCGTGAGGAGGTGTGAGGGGGGGAGTGCTTAGCTTGGTCCTTTCCCCTAACTCCCCTAGCCATGCCTCCTCCTCACTGCAGAACTGGGGCTCGTGGGGGGTGGACCCCAGCTGCGGCAGAGCGTGGAGTCCTGGCACTGCAGGCCAGGCCAGGGTGCCCACCTACGCCACACACCTGCCTGCTGGAGCCTGGCCCCCGAGCCCCTGCTGGGGAAGAGCTGCCAGCCTGTCAGTGCCTGCCCTGCGAAGAGTGTGCGTGTTCCGGAGGCCTCCCTGAGACCCCTGCCCCTGCCTCAGCTGCCCAGGATGTGAGGCCTGTGGGCCGTGCAGGTTTGCTGAGAGCCTAACATGGAAGGCTGAGACCGACAACCGGCAGGAACAGCAGGGCTCACACTTCCCTCACTTTCTGCCAGACTCTGCCCCCAACCCACCGAGTGCCTGTGTGTCACCTCCTGTGCCTCACCCAGGGCCGGAGGAAGTCACCTGGCTGACCAAGGTGGATCTAGCCTTGGTCTCATAACCCCTTTTGCAGAGCTGTGGGCCTTTTACACTGCGGGCGGTTGCCATGCTGTCCCCAGGATCCTTTCTCATCCTCCATGCTCGGTCAGCTGCCTGTGCAGTGCCAAGGTGCCCCAGCCTGGTTTTGCCAATCACCAGTGGACACTGACAGCCATCTGACTGGAACGCCACCTTTCCTTCCCACGTCCTCCCGCAGCGTGTGGCTTTAAAAGTAGACATGCAAGTGTGTTCATACACACCAAAGCAGTCATGCCAAAGGAGTCGCAGATCGGAGGGTGAGGGCTCTCCTCTCAACCTCTCACATAGCCTGGGACCCCTGACCCGGGCCAGAACCTCCGAGGAACCGCCCTGTCCACAAGCACTTTCTTAGGACCTAAAGTCAGGGTGTGGCCACTGAAGGACCTGGAATTTGGGTGTGATGATCACAGTAAGGAGACGTGACATACTGATTGTATACATGGAGTGGGGTCTCTCGATTTAATGAAATGCAGTTTATGGTTTGGTGCATATATTCCTATTTTCCACTAAATTAACTTTATTTCTAAAGCATATTTTGATTTACCATCAAGAGCAATAAAGCATTAAATCTTATTTTTAAAGGCATACTGTTTATCATTGAAAAATGGTGAAATTCTAGCTTAGTCAACAGCTATCTCTGAAGGTAGAAGCAAGCACAAACTATGTAAAATAGGGGTAATTTGCCCAAGGCTTTTGAATAGAAAAGTTAGAGAGTGAGAGAAGAGGCAAGAGGGAGCCTTGGAATTCAATCCGGGCATGCTCTTCCGCCATTCTGAAGCTGCGCTCTAGAATCCTAAGGGAACATGTTTCTGGAATAAACACATGTCCACACAAAAGACACTGTGGATTTCTGCGGCAGCTGTTGGGTCAGCATGGCCTCTTCCAAGGCAGCTGGCTCCCAGGAGCAGGAGTAAGGTGGAGGCCCCCAGGCACCCTAGCACCCAAGAGGATCTTGCAGTCTCTGGCAAACCGTGGGGGCTGCGGGCTCCCAGCAATGGGTACAGGGACAGCAGAGAACAGGCCCTCATTGCCCTCTTCCTGAGGCCCACAGGCAGACTGGACACGAGCTGAGGTAGCCAGCGGCACACCTGGAAGACCCAGGACTAGATTTCTCTGAAGCTAAACTGCTGGATCACCAGGACACCTGTCCACCCCTGCTGGCATGTGAGCAGTGACACACTGGACAAGGCAGGCCCAGGGGAAAGTGGGAGTGGCAGCCTTGGCACCGAGACTCAACATACAGTCTAAGGCCAGATGCCCAAGCAGGACTGAGGTGGCCAACACTGACCAGGCCGTGCCTAAACCTGACCAGCCCTCTGTGGATTGGGCTGCCTGTCATGTGACCCCACAAAGTAAGCCCCTGGGTGAGAACCTGCCCAGCCACTAAGTCAAAACTGGCTTCTCCTGATGCTGCTCTCCTAATCTCGGAAGTCTGCTCCAACCCCTTTCCCTGACTGCCCAGCCCAAACCTCTACATACACAAATCATGCATTAAAGGTGCCCCTGGCATACTCCCAAACGGCAGGTCCACAAAGAGGTCAGCGTAACGGATGGATGGTCAGTGCATTTTATTGAATCAGCACAGTACAAAAATAAATAAAAATAAGGGAAGGGGAATTAAATTACAGCCAAACTGAGCTTCATGACTCGTCAGATTATAAACCACACATACTCACAAACACGCTACACATACATACATAATGAGACAAATATAAATTAACAGTATCCACAGTTTGGTCAAAGAATAGCTACAGAAGAAATTTCACTAAAAAAAAAACACATACATCACATGTGTGTAATTAGCAGTATCAGATGACAGCTATCGATAATTCTGGGGCAAGGGATGGCACATTTTCTTTTCATTGCAAATTTAACACTGCTGAAACAAAACTAAATTCTAATAACTGCATGGAAAGAATATATCAACCCTTCAGGGTTGTAAGGAAAAGAGGAAAATCCAACCCTGAACTATGCCTCAGTGGTTTGTCCTCGGCACGGCGTGATCCCCACAGCCATCTGTTCTAAGGTTATTTTTCTTAAGACACAAAATGTTCCTGGTTTGCATGCACAGTACCACTGTAAAAGCAACGAAGAATAAAAGGGGGTTGTGTAGATCTTTTTCACATTTTTCTTTTTTTTCTTTTCTATTTTGTGTGTGTTTGTTCTAAAAGTGTCTTCATAGCAGCATGTCGGATGGGTTCATTGCTCGAACACTCAAGTCTATCAGTTGTACCTTTGCACAGTACTGATGGCCAATGCAAGGGGAGAGAACCCACGCTTCACAATGGAACTAGGGAGTTCTTTCCTTCGTCGCCAACCACTCCTGAAGTATGCACCTCCTCAAAAATTAAAAAAAAATGTTTTAAAGTACAAAGAGAAGGAAACAGTCAAGAGAGCTAGAATCCTGTGATTGCAGCTCAGTGAACAGCTTCAGCAGCTGGGCGGCTACAAACACACACCTTCCTCAGACCGGACAGCTGAAGCTCCTCTCCCACTACACCAGGGGCCAGAGGCCCCGTGGGGCTCCCCACACAGGTCACCGTGGCAGCAGAATCTGAAGCCAGGCCAGGGAGGCTGCAGCTAGGCCTGTGCAGAGCAAGCATGAGGGCCCAGCAGCCGTTCTCCGAATAACCTGGCTGAGGGGATGGCAGAGGCTCTCTAGTCCCAGCAGATCCGGGTCCTCTTCCCCCTCTGTGAACACATTGGCTGAAAGGCTCTGCTCCAGGCCTCTTCAATGCAGACCTCAATTTCACAGCTTCTTTCTATGTGGGTTTTCAGTAGTGCTTGTGAGGAAGTTGGCAGCCACCTGGAACCTAATCCTATGTAAGATAACCTCTGCCTTCCCCGCTGTGGCCCCCAATCACAGCTCTCCCTGGGGAGAGAGGACAGGAAGAGGAAATCCTGGGGAGCATCTTCACATTGCTCTTTGTTCCCCAACGCTGCAGTGAGGGCCATGCAGGAAGACTCACTCCCTTCTCTTGGACCGCTTCCAAACCCCAAGCCACCAGTCTGGGAAAATTAGAAAGAAAAACCAGTAAAGTCCACAAAGAGTAGTCTGCAACTGCCAGGGAGAGGTGGGTACCACACCCGGCAGCTGCAAGTGTTCAGCTGGACAGTCACCAAGCTTCCAAAGCAATCAGGAGTCACACTCGAACCTTGCATTGTTTCTGAGACGCAGCTGCCTCACTAGGTTGCACATAGCAAAACTTCATCTCTGGGAGAAACCGAACTGCTTGGAAACAGCTTAAACTAACGGGTAGGGCTGGGAGCCGCCATTACCACAGCAACCTGTCAGCTTATCTCACCTGACCCCAGCTTGGCAGGACAAATGTCTCAAGCATGGACACCCACCTGCCCAGAAGGCAGCGTTGCTCGTGGGCACCTGCCACTGTCCAGGCTTGTGCAGAGTGATTGAGCTGCATTATGCAAATGAAACTCACTCAGGAAAGGAGCTCCCTAGCTTCACCTCGCCCCCTTACCTGGGACCCCAAATGAGAGGAACCTATCTAATAAGCAGACCGCCTCATTAACCAACACCAGGTGGGAGCTGGCCGCACAGAGAAAGGACACGCGGGGAGCTCCATCCCGCCAGTAAGGGAAAGCCCTTCGCCCAAAGCCAAGCAGCAAAGCAGGGCCGTGCTGGGTCACCAGCCATGGACAATCTTTGCCAGACCGACTTCCAGGCTCCTGGGCTGGTGCCCCAGGACAGTGCAGCACTGGCCTCACTGAGAACACCCTGGCTCCAGGAGCCTTTAGGAGAATTAAACAGTCACCAGAAAAGGGTCAATTCCTCCTAGGCCACTGTCATCGGCCTCTCTCTAGCTCCCATCATGGGGCAGTGGGAAGCCTCATCTACTCTGGACCCAGCATGGGTGCAGGTGACATGGGCAAGCCAGTCCCTTGTGTCCCCAAAAGTGAGTGGTCAGCAGCCTAAGTGGCTCTGAATGCATCTTCTGGGTTTGCACAAGGTTCATGAGTTCGAAAGTCCCCAGAGTTCTTGAAAGGGCTGGAAAAAACCCCAAGGAGAGAACATGGGAAGAAGCCCTTGGGGGCTTTGCTAGACACATACTGTACACAAAATTTGATCCGTTTAGTAATAAATTTTTAAAAACGAATGGAATCCTTGAGCCGGGATACCAGCTACAGGGGCTCACCGGTCAAGCCCCAGGAGGAGTCGCTTCTTGTCCTCCTGGCCACTCTCATTCTTCAAGTCGGAGAACACCTGTGTGAAGTAGTGTGGGTCAGCATTGATCTGCAGCATCTTGGAGCTCATGAGGTTGATAACTGAGAGGCAGCGGTCCCAAAAGGCTTCCTTGCAGCTCTCCACGAGGAAGGGCTTGAGCGGGTAGGAGATCTCATTGCCCATGTAGGAATAGGAGAGGTACAGGCAGGTCAGCAGGACAGCCTGGAGCTCGTGGTCCGAGCCCACCTCGGAGGAAATAACATCCCTGCAGAGCATGTAGAGGAAGACCACGTTGGCGGGTGTGATGAAACCCTGGTCCTGCCAGCCCTGTAGAAGCAGCGAGCGGTCCACGCTGCGCAGCCAGAGCACAGGGTCCGTGGGGGACAAGTGCTTCAGGCGATAGCACCGGCGGCAGAGAAACTCGCCCAGACAGCGTAGCAGCTCACTGGTGGACGCCTGGACGATGACCCGTTTGGGTGTCCCTGCAGAGGTGATGGCAGGGTGCGGGGCCTTCTTGACAGAAGAGGAGACTCCAGTCTGGGAGCCGGAGAGCTGGCTGGCTGGGGGTGCGGGCGGCTGGGCCGGCGGGGGTTGGGCGAATGTGGACAGGTTGGCGCACGACAGCGACTTCTTCAGGTTCTCATTGTTGAGGTGCGCGATGTTGCTCTGGTAGCTGCTGTTGGGCTGCGCCTTCTTGGAGTTCTTCTTCTTGGCTGACACTGCCACGATCCTCTTCCAGGGCAGCACCGAGATGATGGAATGCCGCTTCAGGCTCTTGTCCTTGGCGTTCTTGCTGTTCTGCACGGCCGTGTAGTGGCCCACAGTGGCCGCGCCATCCTCAAACAGCGTGGCCTTCCGATAGCTGGGGGACAGGGACAGCACTGTGCCCATGGTGCCACTGCGCGCCCGGCTGGGGCAGGCGCCCCTGCGCGCCCAGCCTGCCGGCCTGAGGGAAAAGACGGCTTACCGAGCCTGAAGCGGCCGCAGGGAGAAAGGAGGCGCTCCCGGGACGCGACGCGTGTAGCCCTGCGGATCTGCGTGGAAAACAAGATGGTTCTCAGCCCCGGGCGGGGCTCCGCGCCGCACCCCTCCGCCCGCACCTCCGAGGCCGGAACCCCCCCGGGCTGCGGCCCCACCGAGCCCCAGTCCTCGCTTCCACTGCGGCACCGGGCGAGCGTCGCAGCGGCCGCCGCAGCAGGACCCCGAACCCGGCCGCGCGCACGGCCCCGGTCGGCGCAGGCTTACCCGCAGGCAGGCTCCCGCGGCAGATGCAGCCGCTGCGTCCCAGGCCCTCCGCAATGCGCGCCGCGGCCCCGGGGCTCGGCGCGGCTCGGCGCGGCGGCGGCTCGCAGCTTCTGTCCAAGGTTCTGCAGACGCCGCGGCCCCGCCCCCCAGCCCCCGCCTGCGTCTCCGCCGCGCGCCCGCCCCGCCCCGCCCTGGCGCGCGCTTCGCAGGCTGCCTCTCCAGGTCGCGCGCGCCGTCCGCACGCCTGCTCGGTCTCGCCGCCAGGTCGCGGCCACTCGCGTCCTCGGCTCGAGCGGCGCACGCAGACGCCTCTAGTGGGCGCGCCCCATGCGGCCGGCGAGAACGCGCAGCTCCGGGTCTCCGCCTCGAAGCCGCCCGCGCGCAAGCTGCAGCCCGGCTTCGTGTGCCCCGGCGCCGCGCAGCGGAGATGGGCGGGCGGGCGAGCGAGCGAAGGGCGGGGCGAAGGGCGGACCCCGCCCAGACACGTGCTGCCTTTGTTCCCGCCGCGGCCCCCGCTGCTGAGGCCGCCGGCCTTGTCAAGAGTGGCCCCGGCGGCCGGCGGCAGGGGAGAGCTGTGTCCGGCGTCGGCATAAAAGCCCATGGTCCCCTAAGACTAGGAAACCCCGGGCTAGAGGGGCGAGGACGGCCCACATATCCTGTCACCGGTTGTGTCAAAATCGAAGCAGCTGCGCCTTCGGGCCAGCCTCATTTGCCTCTTTTGAAACTTGAGAGTAAAATTGCAGAATATTCTGGTCTGACCATCGACGCAAAGCTCCCAAGCACTCCTCCATACTTCACAAAGACGGTGGTTTACTAGTCACTCATTTTGGTCTGATTCTGGAGACTCAAACTGGCAAACAAGCCGCAAACCGTCCCTTAACTCAGACTCCCATCTCCGGACCTAGGGAATTCCTGACAACACCTGTAACAGCTGAGCCAACTACCCCCAAACTGGCATCTTGAGTCATTAGGTGCAGTACTTGAAGGTTAGAAAGTGTCATTTTCTTTATGAACCCAGAGAGTTCTCTGCCAAAAGAAGCGGAAGGTTTAGGAACCTTGATGACCAGAATAGAAAATGCACCGTGCTGTGCCAAAAACCGTTTTACAGGACCTCATCAAACACCCACAAGGCTAGCTTAGCTGAGTGCCCTTCCTCACAGCGTTCCTCATAGAACGGAGTCGAAGCCAGTTTCCTATTGCTAGAACACAACACTCGGACACTGGATAATCTAGAAAGTAATGAAGGTTAGCTCACAATTCTGAAGTCTGGTCCAGATCCGGTGGTAGAACATGCCTTGGTGAGAGCTCCCAGGGTTCACCTCACACCAGGAAGCGCGGAGGAAGCAAGTACTTGTGGGATTGAGGACAGGTGCCACACTGGCTTTCTAACCACACCAGCAGGAGCTTCCTCACGCCCTTCATGCATGGAAGCGATTCTATGACTTCAAACCTTTCCTCTAGCACAAGCCAGCCAGGAACTTGCAACCTTCCTGCTTCAGTGTTCACTGCTGGAACTGAGGCATGAGCCTCACCAGCTCTACAGAATTAATTCTGGAAGACCCAGCTCAACACTGAGATCAAGCCTCAAGGCTGTCAACAACCCGAGCCCTTTAAAGAGCTTCCCTACCAGGTAAGTGGTGGCGCACATCTTTAATCCGAGCACTTGAAAGGCAAAGGCAGGAGGATCTCTGTGAGTTTGAGGCCAGCCTGGTCTACAGAGGGAGTTCCAGGACAGACAAAGCTATACAGAGAAGCCCTGTCTTAAGAAAAACCACCCCCTCCCCAAAAAAGAGCTGTCCTGGCTCTTTTCATCACGGTGGGCTCTAAGTCATCCTGCCCAGGTCTCTCAGCTCCACCGGCCCAGTACCTCTTCCTAGAAAGGTAACACTGAAAGCCAGCCCGTTGTTCCATCCAGTCCCTGTGGAGAGACCTAGCTTTCTCAGCCAGCTTCATGTTTATATTACTTCAAATTCTAGGACTGAGCAAAAGTAAGTGTTCTACTTCCCTAATTACACACATATCTCTGAAGGCTGTAATCCACCCATTGGAAACACCTGGGCCTGCTGTTGCCTGCAACTGAATCACAGCTCTTTATAATTCATCCCAGAGTTCATGGGTTTTTGCCAGCATGGCTGTACACGTCCTCTCTTGTCTTCTGTCAGCCAGCCCTTCCCCGTTACCTTCAAGACCCTCTCCATGAACTACTCCAGACTACTCACATTGCTAGGGACAGTCATGATTGTAGCAAAACAGGAATAGGAGTCTCCCAACCTACATGCTGAAGAAGAGGTTGTTAGGGACCCTACCCACCTAGGTCATGCCTGACAAGCTTAAGTCAGGTTCTGTAGAGTATCAGAACTCCCAACAATGGAGGCTAACGGACATAAAGGCCAAGAATCCACAAATTGATCGGTTCACGGCCGGAGGTCTCAGCTGGTCTCCAGCAGACACAGGAATCCTGAAGGAGATTCTAATGTCAGTGAAGGGATGGACTTTCTGCTAGCAAGGACAGAGCAAGCAGGCAAAAGCATCTGGCTCCATGTCCTTATACAGGCTTACAGCAGGTGTGGCCAGATAAAAGGTGTGTGTCTTCTCACCTCGAAGTCCAGATTGGAAATGGGTCTTCCCACTTCAAATTAAGCAAAAAAGTTCCTCACTGGTGTGCTCCCCATTTTTGAATTTTTGTTAAGTCCAGATGTAATCAACCATGAACAGCCATCACATAAGGCAGCACACAGTTCCCCTGTTCACTCAAGCCCACCTCTGCCTCCCCACACCCAGCTCCCTCACTGTTCTAACAGGGAAGCAAAGAAAGGGCAACAATATGCCCAACATGGTAGAACGAAGAGCCCAGAAGGCAGAGTCCAGGCATGTCTTCTTCCTAGTACTCAGATAGCTCAGGAAAGATGTGCTACTTTCCCCACAGCCTATCTAACTGCCTTGCAAGGTGCAATGCCCACACAGTACCTCAGTAGAAATCTGCTGTACACACGCTACTTCCCATGCTGGCCCAAGGTCAGAAGGCCAAAGGAGCAGCTACACAGGTACAGGAAAAAGTTCCAATCAAGACCTTTAGAGGCCTGGTTCTTAGCCTGGCAGTGGCACACACCTTTAATCCCAGCCCTTGGGAGGCAGAGACAGGAGGCTCTCTGTGAGTTTGAGGCCAGCCTGGTCTACAGAGCAAGTTCCAGGACAGCCTCCAAAGTTACTGAGAAACCCTGTCTCAAATAAAAACCAAAAAGCAGCCGGGGTGTTGGTGGCGCACGCCTTTAATCCCAGCACTCGGGAGGCAGATCTCTGTGAGTTCGAGGACAGCCTGGTCTACAAAGTGAGTTCCAGGACAGCCTCCAAAGCTACAGAGAAACCCTGTCTAGAAAAACCAAAAAAAAAAAAAAAAAAAAAAAAAAGCAGCCTGGTTCTTGAAGTCTTCTTTGAGGCATAGAGCAGCACCTAGTGGCTCTTGTGAGCAACACAAATTACATAACCAGCTGCGACACAGCAGGGCACCAGAGCAGTTACTCTCAAAGGCAGTGTCATTAATGCACAATGCACAACAAAGCTCCAATACCTTGAAGGCTAATGCCTAAAAGGGGCCCTCAGCTAGACAGCCCAGAACAAGGCTAACACATGGGCCAGACCTTGGGGGCAGAGAGGAAGCTAGGGAGGCTAGCTATGTGAGACCCAGGAAGGGAAATCGTGGCACAACCCACAGAGGTTGTGCCATCAGAGGTTACCTGTGAGAGCCACATTGACCACATGGGTAATGTGCTACTTTCTAGTAATTACATTAAAAAAGTAAAGTGCGGGTGAATTTTAATATTTAACCCAATCCACATATAAATTTATTTAACATTGCAGTGCATGTATAAAAATTAGTAAGCTGCTAAACACTTTTTTGACACTGAACCTTTAAAGGATGGTTTGTGGTTACAGTCTGAACTAGCCTCTCTTCAGGGCCTGACGTCAGACGGCTAGCAGCTGCCCGACAGTGCAGTCTGAAATCACCCCACTGAGGGCTACAGTCCTGAGCACTGCTTGCGGTTTGCTTATGTTGGGAAACCCTCCCCACCCTGCTCCAGCTCCACATCCCTAGAGATTTTTAACATCCTTTATAGAAAGGAAATTTTCTAAAGGAATATTATACACAGAAAACATCTACAACTGAAGACTGCTAAACTGGAAAGGGCTTTGGCAGCCCCCCAGAGGCACGAGTCCCTCAGAAGACCCTTGCTTGGGGTCTGAGGGCAGTGTGGAAACAGCTGACACTGCAGTAAAGCAAGGCTGGCCGTCAGAACTCTGGCTCCTGCACTTCCTCAGCCCTAGCATCCATCCTGTCTCCTTCCATAGACAAAGAGATGAGGACAGACTTGGAAGACTACTGCCCAGGCCCACACATTCTCACTGGCTGGCCCTCGTGCCCAACAGACACCTGAGCTCCATTTCTGACTTCACTCCTTACAGGTCAACTTTCCTGCCCAAGGTCTCCAAATATGGATTCCCAGCATGGCTATAAGACCCCCATTAAGCAATGAAGTAATAGCGTTCTGGCCAAGCCAGAGGGGCTACATGAAATGTTTGAACTTGCTTAGACACCCTCCAGCACTCAAAAAAAACAAAAGACACCTTTTGAAAAAAAAATTATTTTATTGGAACTCATCTGAACATCAGATATACCTGGTGTTGGTTAGCAAGAACCGTTTGTACATTTGATATTGATGGTGCCAAAACCAAAACAGTGACTGGACATGATGGGGAGAGAAAGTGGTTGAGAACAAAAACCTGATTTTGAAGAGGAAAATAAAAGCCAGTCAGATTCAGTGAAGATGCAAAACCTGGTACAACAAAATCCTTTTACAAAATAGAAATCTATTACCAAAACCTGGAAGGATAATCTGAGAAAGGTTCTAAAGAAAGAGAAGTAGGAAGGAGCAGGAGGGGGAGGGGAGAAAAAGAGAGGAGACAGTGGATGAGGACACAGCACATGGGACAGCAAAGGTACAGGCGTTCGCTCACCTGCCCAAGCCTGCTAGGAAACTGCATCGGAAACAAAGCATGCTAAAACAGCGCCACCCTGTTGGCTCACGCTCTTAAGAGGCAGAGAAAAAGTCTGGAAAGGGAGCATGAGGGTGCTTCAAACCCAA